CACCTCCTGAAGAGTGTGGTGTTCATTACGCAAATAGTTGTTCACAGATCTGATGATTTCCCACTGAGTGCTCTGACCGGGACTTAACTCGAAATATGTCGGCTCTTCCACGAGTCGGCCGTAAGTGTAGGCGTTGTTAGTATTGGTTGAGTCCATGATATCGGCGCCAATGCCTTACGGTTTTAGTGAAACATTTCAATGTTAACAAAAAATACAAATTAATTAACAGTTGATGTCTTACTCTCGCAATTCATGGCAACAGTAATGTCGATATTGAGTTGTAATTTACTGCCGAAGACAATGTCATTGCAATTAATAAATGATATATTATTTGCACACAAATAACAATATTATCAATGAATGGCAAAACCTGTCAAAGTCTGTGTCCACGGTATACAAGAACTTGATTCTGGACTTGAGATACACCGACGTCTCAAACATGACTAAAATGCCGATTAATATATAACTCAATACCGAAACTAAATGACAATCAAATGACATAAACGTTAGCACAAATGGATCACTACTTTCAATGATAATAACGGTAATAACGGCAGACCTGTTCCACCCGTTGCTGTAGTCTTAGTGAAGTTGTGGTCAACTTTGGTGAAGACATCGATGTCGGCGATCGCACGCGGATTGGCTACGAGTCGACGAAATAATGGCATATCTTATGGTGTAATGAATTGCAGATCTCTTTGCACTCAATTCACTGTAAATTACATTCAAATCTAATTGAGTTGTCGTTAAGACTGATGTCAACACAAACTCATCAGAAAGTGACTGATTTGTTGTCTAAACACAAAGTACGACAACTTTTGACCAACTCTTCAGTTCATTCATTCAGATAACCAAATGTTTTATAAAATAATACAATTTATTATTTAAATTATTTAAAAATTTGTTAATTAATTTAAATTACAATTAAAATTATTTCTTGTTTTTGTGGACAACAGTCTTCGCCTCGTTCTTGGATTTCACTAATTTTACTAAATATTTATATCTTTCAATACAATCAGTTCGCGAACGGTTTGGTATACACTTTGAGATCAGATCCCATCGCTCAGTGCCCAGAGAGGACGGGTAAGTCTTCATCGCCTGTTCCAGCAGTTGTTGTTCTTCATTATTCCATGGATTGGCGTTCAGGTCAACGAAAGTACGCGGCGCTGGACATCAATCACAAAACAAATCATCATTAAAATCATTGTATGGCAACAATTGTTGCCAAAAACTTACCGTCAAATCGTTGACTCGGATCCGATTCATCGCTCGGTTGTGTGCCTTTTGGTTGGTTTTTTTCCAATGTTTTGAACGCATTCTTATTCGCCTCTTCTCTAAGGGTTTGCGATTGATCTGAAGGTAAGACACAATTAGTTATATAACTTATTATCAGTAAGTTTTGGATACGATTTGTTAAACGAGCGATAATTACCAGAATTTTGTAAATCCTTCGCTTTGCCGATAACGTCCCTATGATTTCTGGTCACACCGGATGTGCTCTTATCGTTGACCCATTTAGCAATCACTGCCCACCGGTCTTGAGTGCCCGCAGGGAATAGTTTAATGGCTTTAATGAGTAGTTGGATGTCATCGTAACTCCAGTGCTTCTTCGACGACACGTTATTCGTCTGACCGTTCATTGAGTTATTGGTCGTCAAGAGAGCGATGCGTTCGGACTCTAACTTAGTGTTCATTTCTGCCATTTTCTTAAGGAAAAAGTCTCGTTTCAAGTCTTCGCTGTCGAGTCCTTCAAACTGTTGTCTAAATGTTTGCAATTCTTCTAAACTATAAATATTCATAATTTTATCAAATTCTCGCAAATAATCAATTCTTTGGTTCTCATTGTCGGCAAAATAACCAAATGT